GTGAAGTTGTTGTCACTCCAAAATTCACTCGAACGTAAAGTACGGTATTCCGCCACTAGGTGGCCGCCGAACTCGTATGAAGTAAGATCACGATAGCCTGGGCATATAAGGGATCCCGTCACGGGCCGGGACGGTTCTCCCGCGACAATCAGTAAAACAAGCGAAACTGTCACATAAAGTACACATTTTCAGTACTGGCTGTAAATATTAGAATACAGCCTCAATATGCGACGATGATAGCGAAGAAACCATAGCGAAGCTCTCATCCGTAAATTTTATACTGCTAACAATAATCGATTAAAGTAAAACAGCACTCTCTTTCAGAGTCGAAGAATCAATCCAAGTAAAGAGTGGAATAACGGCACTCTTTCGAAAAAGTGACACTGCACTCCAGTCGTACTGGCAGTATTTTCATTATTTCTTCGAGTGAAATCTCACTCCGAAAGAGTGGCATTACACTCGAAAAAATTTAGAGAGCACGAAAGGTATTTATCTTTCAAGTTTCAAATTACAACTTGAAATGACAGTTTTGTAGAATTTGAAAACGTCATTGCCGGAACGTATCTATAATAGTCCTTCACGCGGCTTTGCATTATTTATTCTGCAACGAATTATAGAAGTGGCTTTATTTAACGAGAAACGCCGTCCCGCCCGCCAAGCGCATTTATTATCGAGCGCTCGATGCAACTAACAATAAGTAAATTGAGGCACGTGCATGATTTGAACAGCAAGTTTCTGTCACATATATCATTCCCGGTCCATTACATCGGATACGCTTATTGCGATTGACGCGGGAGTCGATACATTGCGAAAGGTGTCCAATACGAAATCTGTTGTGCCCGACAACGAGCAATAACGCAGATGCAACGGGGGCACGATGCCAATGGTGGTTCTATACATACGCGCGGTCCGCAAAATAAATAAAGTGTAGCTCGAGTATGCCACTTCGCTGCGGAAGCGCGACGCCATCCACCGTCGAGCTGTCAGATTCTTGCCCGAATGTTTATCCGATAGCAGTAAATAGAGAGGAAGCGATTGCGTTTTTTGCAAATATTTCATTCTGCGCTGCGTTACGATTTATTGCGCGCGAAGTCTGCTTTAGTGTACGACCACTAAATACATGTCTATTGTCAAGCATTTATCAAACTTCTTGGTGACTCTTTCTTTTTCGACAAATAAGAGTCGACAATCGATAGAAACGACTCAATATGCTCATTGTATAAAGAGAAAGTAAAAAATGAAGAGTGTTTAGAAAAGAAACTCGAGATCCTCGCGTGTTAAAAGTGAGCCATTAAGCTGGCGCAAATTAATTTTGAATATCGAATTTTCTGAAATTTCCAACAACTATTGAAAGTTATTCTTTTATAATTGTCAGTTTATATGCCCATGCTTTTGTTGCAATTAACTTCGTACCTGATTATTCGATTCCTGGATATTCCCTAGAACCTATTCTCTTTAAGAATCGTGATAAAAGCTTAATAGCCTGTGCACCGCCGAGTAATTGCTCTTTCCTTTTTTCGTGATTGATGTACCGATTAACTGCTCGAACAATCGACTCGATGCAATAAATTCGATTTAACCTCAGTCGTACTCGATCTTGACATATTTCCACCAGCGGATACCGTGTACCAGAATGCGCATCGATTATCCGGCTGTCGAGTCATTAAAACGTTAAAATATAACTCACAAAAAAATTTTTAATAGCTGCACAGACTATAATCGTATAAATCAACATATCATGTTCTTAAACGTTACATTAAGTTTAAGGACAACCATTGTTAAATTTTACTTATTCACTCCTGATTCTAAATGCGCGAAAGACAAACCGTAAATCGCATGTTCAAACAACACGAGCGTGAGATATTCAAGCCCGAGTTTATTCGCAATTAACACGAGGTAGCCGCGAAATAATGAACGAACGCTTATCGCGAAGTCCAAACCGCGCGATGACAACATCTGGCGTGGATACTGTGATACTAAATATACGTATATCATACAAACGCGCGCGCACGGTATATCTCGAATGTTGCCGGCATCCAAAGTGCGTCAGAAACGCCGGGGGCCTGGTCGCTGTCACTGATGTTTATTGGCACTGAGAGCATCCACCACACGTACTAAAATTAATGATAGCTTGTTTAGATTATAGTCCACGGACGTAGCTGACCTCCGGCAATCTACCGATGTTACTTAACTCTAATAAGCTTTCGAGATACAAGAATACTTATGCGGGAATCAATAATTAAAAGAATACAAAGCTCTGGTGCAAGGATAGTTCGAGCGTCTCACGTTGAAAATTTGCTCATTAAATTTCTGATGGAATTTACAAATAATACTAAGATTAGAGTAAGTAGTTGAAACGAAGATACAATTCTACAGTCTAGACGTGTTGTGATTTTCTCCGAACTACGATAAATTTAGGACTTTAAGTACATAGAGTACCTCGCACATAAGGCATCGTTAATATCGATAACGCTATTATTACTGACGGCACTGAGCATCAATGATTCCCGTGCAACAACTCTCCCGCACGAGGAAAAACACTGAGGGGCTAGACTCGTGTCAATGCGAAGATAGGGTCGCGTTATTTGCGATCGACGGGATACACGTCCCCTATAATCCGTCCTGTGCAACGCCGACGACGTCCGATGCAGATGCAACGGAGGATCGGTGCCAAATACGTTATACGGGCCACGGGAAATGGGCACGTAGATCCCAGATATGGCGCGTCCTCCAGTACTGCGGCATGGGTCGCCCTGGTCTGGTCAACTTCTGGCTCTGATGTTTATTCGGCGCGAGTGGAAGCGCCGACTGCGCTTGTCGTTCGAATTAATTTACCGCTTGCGGGCCTCCGGTCTCTTCACACAGATATAGATAGATAGATAAATATATAGACAGAGAGAGAGAGAGAGAGAGAGAGAGAGAGAGAGAGAGAACAAAGGAATAAGAGACAGAAAGAGAGACAGGCAGAATCTTAACGATATCGTTCGATCTTATTTCGTCAGAAAGAAGTGGAAACTGTATATACAACTCCGCAGTATTTTAACCATATAAACGAGAAATTTCGTTTAAATAACAAACTTAGACGTGCGTGTTTATTTCTACAAATGTTAAATTCAAACTTAGACCGAACGAAAGCATTTATATCTTCAGGACAATTAGTACGATAGAACGCTCCAGTGGCTAAACAGCTGCATCTAAGTAATTTTCGCGTAAATAATTTCATCCGTTAAGCTCACTCCACGTATAGACATCTTCTTTTCTTTGGAGATGTTGAAAAATTGAGGCACATCGCCCAAAATTACTGTCAAATTGACCGTGCAATGTCGTAAGGCAATATCTTTGTCATCCGCAAGAAATACCACCTCACGTTCGCGCTATAAAGAAAACCGGAGTGCCTTAGCCACCGGTAGCGGTAAGACGCTACAAGTCGAGCGTTTCTCCAGATGCATCATGAAAAATGCAC